CGGGGGGGGGGGCGGAGGGAACCTCCTGCTTCTGCCACGTGCCCAGGAGGGACCAGGCGCAGCAGGAGGGTGAAGAATCCGTCCCACTGCCCAGTTTTGGGGTCGGTCAGGGCTCAGGTCGTGTCGGATCCTGGTGCTGAAAAGCCTGGGGATGTCCCTGCCCTTCCCCACCTCCAGGGAGAGGAAAAAAATGTCCTGGGGTTGGGAAAAAAAGGACTTAGACCTGGGACAGTGGGGCTGGGGCAGGGTTGGGACTGGGGGTCCCTCTGCTTTGGGGCTGTGCAGCTTCAGAGGTGGGTGATGCCCCTCTACAACCCAAGGAAGGGTCTGGATGTGGATGTTCCCTATCCTGGCTCCTACTTCTGCCTCTGATGGGAGCAGGGAGTGGGACGAGCAGCCATTTGGGTGGAGATACAACGTGGTTGGACACACAGCATGGGGAAATCATCGGGAAAGGGAGGATTTCTTCCCAAAGATGATAAAAAGACAGAGGAAATCTTGTAAGGAGCTTTTGTCCCACTGGTACCAGACCACCCCCCCTGTACAGGGCTCTCCATGGGCTGGGGGACACTGAGTGTCCCTGTGGGCTTGGAATTCTGAGTCTCCTCATGGGACAAACAACCCTTTTAGGTCTGGTCACAGCAGCCATGTATCACTACGAGCTCCAGCACGTGAATCTTGGTCATAATCATCTTCATGATCTCAGGGGGAACAGGAGAACCTGCAATGATTCCTGGAACAAAGAGGAAAAGACCTCAAAAACCATCTATTTATTCCCAGGAGCGGTCCCTCAGATGGTTCTGGGCACTCTCAGATTTCAATGCTGGCAAGATCTTTGGGATACAATGGCTCATGTCAAAAAAATATCCTCTATTTTTATGGATACGGGTCCTAGTTATTCTAGAAGCAAAGCCTGCAGCAAGGCCAGTTTGCCTGGTTGAATCAAGGGTTGGCAGAGTTCACTCATTAGGAAAATAAACTCTACAGCACAACCCTCGTCCGAGCTGCAGTTCCCAAAAAAGGAAAGATCCAGAGCAGAAAGAGGTGCAGATTTTTAGCAGGACAAACACTCCCCCACCATAAACCCAAAAACTCTGCCTCCTGCCTTGCACAGAGCAGCCCTCGTGGGTAGCTCCGAGTCTCCTCGTGGGCTGGGAATACCGAGGTGTCCCTGCTTGGCCGGGCCTCTCCAATCCCACCTCCCGGCAGCGCTGTTTGCCCTCTCTTATTTAAGCATTCGTCTTGTTTAAGCACCACTTCAGCGCTGCAGGGCGGGGCGATATCTTGTAGAAAAGAAACAAGAGTCTTCCTCCTCCCCTCCCTCACTTTCCCCCGGGCCTGTATTACCCCAAATAAACACTCACTTTGGGTAATAGTTAACTTTATTGCCTCGGCCCCGGCTTGGGCTGCACGATAGGGCTCGGCGGGGAGACTCGAGGGGTTGATAGTCCTCGGGGGAGAGGAGATAAGGGCTGGGTTTGAAGGGCAGCGCTCGTGGCTGCTGTCACGGCCGTGCCGGGGGGTGGGAGCCACCACGGGACACGCATCTCTCCCGTCACCTTCCCCAAAACATCTCCTGCTGTGGCACTGCCGTCCCAGCCCTTGTGTTCCCCAGGTGAGCGGGTGGTGGGGCCGTTCCGCAGCTTCGTCATCCCCACGACCCTGACCCGAACGTCTCTGTCCCGGGCCACAAACCTTTGCCGAGCTTCAGAGATGCCTGAAGAACCCGCCCAGCAGCTCTTTCTCTCTTAATTGCCTTTTCCCGAGTCAATGGATAACTTTACAGCCCGAGGCCATGGACACATCCAACGGCACGACCTCGGGGAGGCAGCGATTTGCCGCGGGGGGATGGCAGGGGGAGGCACTGGAGGGAAAGGACCGTAAAGTTCAAAACTAAAACCATCCTGAAAGTCACTGCCAGGCTGGGGGTGCACGGTGGGCGTCTGTGGGGGTCCTCTCCAGATCCCCAGGGAAGCTGGATGGGGTTTTCTCTCATCCCATCCCATCCTATCCCATCCCACTTGGGCTGTCCCGGAGCAGTGGGACCTTCCAGCCTTCCCCTCCAAAATCTCGCCGGGGGGGCAGAGGAAGAGCAAAGCCTGTCTGAGCCTCCCACAATGAGCTGCCCATCTCCACCAGCCCACCAGCCCCTCCTGCCACGGTGGCTCCCGTGGTCCTGGACATGGTGTGGTGGCACCGGCGCCGTTTCCTTCTGGATGCCAAGGAAAGGGCTGAGAGGACTCTCCAGTTGGCACCTTCACCTCCTGGTGAAGACCCTGTGGCAGGACCCCCTCCCCCAGGCTTTCCCCCAGGTTTTTATCCCCCCCCTTCTGCCTCCTCCTCCCCTCCCTGTCCTTGAGCAGCCCGATCCTGGCATTCCCGCAGCTTTAACAGCCCCAGGGGACGGTCGGTGGGATGGATCCAGGTTTTACAGCCCTTGCTTCACCGCGGCAGCACAAACAAGGCGGGGACGGTGCCAGCACTGGGGGGGCACTGCGGGCAGTGAAAGTCAAGGGACGGGTGAGGAGGGTCTGCAGGGGAAGGGCTTGGGCAGGGTGGGGTCCTGCTCTGCTGGGCACCCACTGGAGAGGAGCCTGAACTCCCCTCTCTGCTTCGAGCAGAGCTCAAAAATCCATCCCAGATTTACCACTGTCGAAAGAGGATTTTTTTAACTGCCACCTTGTCCTCAGTGTTCCAGGGAGGAGTTGTCCCAAAGGAACCTCAGAAAGCTCTTCCATCTCTCCCTCCGGTGCCCTCTCCGGGGTTTTCCCCACTGCAGCTCTCTTGAGGAAGGACACTTCAGTTTCCCATGCAATCAGCTTTCCTGGCGTGGTGGCAGAGCTTCCCTGTGATCCACTGTCCTGGGGATCTCACCAGGAGCAGCTTGGCTGCACAGTCAGAGCAAAGTCTGAGCACAGCACGTGCTGAAGGACGGGAGGGGGTTCCTGGAGATGTTCAGGTGTTCAGGCACGTGATGGCTCTTTCCACGGGAATGTATTGAGCAAACATGAACAGTGTCCTGGCTCCTTCCCCGTTGGACAATGTGAGACCATACACCAAAGATCAGAGTTTCCATGAATACTTGCAGAGCAGGAGATGGCTTCAAACAAGGCGTGTTGTGTCATAGATCATGGAATCCTGGAATGGAAAGGACCTTAAAAATCATCCAGTTCCACCCCCCTGCTGTGGGCAGAGACACCTTCCACTATCCCAGGCTGCTCCAACCTGGCCTTGGACACTTCCAGGGATGGGGCAGCCACAGCTTCTCTGGGCAACCTGTGCCAGGGCCTCCCCATCCTCATTGTTAAAAACGTCCTCCTTTGTTTTGTGTTGGGGATCCCACAAAAATTCCTTCTATCTATGGGCTCATGTCTAGACATGTGGATGTGGCACTTGGTTATAACCGTGTTGGCCTTGGCAGAGCTGAGGGAACAGTTGGACTTGGTGCTCTTGGAAGGCTCTTCCAACCCAAACGATTCCGTGATCCGATGTAACACGACTCGTCCGGGCATCGGAACAAAGTTTGAGCTGAAGGGACTTAATCAGTCAGGGAAAGAGGATTTTCTTCACCAAAAAATGAAGCTGAAACACAAGACCTTTGGGAAGCTTTAGGGAATTGTTGGTTTGAACATGATCCTGCAAGTGTAGCCGGGCTGGGAGGCGACTGTGACAAAGGAGATGCTGGAGAAGGCAGGTGGGATCCTGCCAGGAATGGCTTAGAAAGAGCTGTTTGGTTCAGCCTGTGGAGATACAAGGGCAGGGGGGACTGGGGGGTTTCAGGGGGGTTGGGTGTGTCCATGCTAAAGGCATGAGCTCATCAGCCCTCTCAGAGCTGTTTGCATATGGACAAATGTGTTTATACACACACAACAGTTCACCCAGAGGGATTTTTGAGCCCAACCCAGCACTTCCTCATGTCCCCCTGGCTTGTCTCTCTTCCCCCTGCCTGGCTCTGCTCTGGCTCCCTCTGACCCCCAAGGTCTGTGGGTGTTCCTTCTCCCCTCACACAACAAAAAAATGGGAGCACATAGTGAAGGTGAAGAGCATTAAAAATAAATATTGTGCCCTTCCTTTCCCTTCACACGGCGTTGCAACATCAGCCTGGGACAGGGCTGCAGGTTCTCACCATGCACAGATCCTTCCTTGCCCACAGACCCACTTTCCCAATTAAAAAAAAGCTTTTTCCCCCGTTTTCTTAAGCCTGTAAAAGCAGAGGGTAAAGGCAAAAAAAAAAAAAAAAGGCATTTTTAACAAGAGGGAACAGAAGGCAGACAACGTCTCCACGTGATAAAATTTTATTACAAAATATGAGATGGATTAATAGTCGCAGGGGAGTTTGGCAGGGGAGAAGGAGTTCTGTAACAAACACAGCATCACCAGCGAAATAAATCTTCCACCCAAGTTCTCCAGGGCCCCAATTTCTTTCACATTGTGTTCATCTTGCACAGTAAAGGATCACCTTGAATCCACAGCCCCACGAAGCCACACCACGCTTTTTTTGCCTATTTACAGCGATTTTCTCCCCGTTATCATACAGAGACCAGGCCCCACCTCCTCGCCTTCCATCAGCTCCTTGGAAAGCTTTTCCTAAGTCCCTGTCACCCCAGTGTCCCCTGGGATTGGGGATGGAGGCTGGGATCACCACAAGCCTCCATCAGCATCGCTCCCCGTCTCCCCGTCCTTCTCCCCAAAAACAGCCATGAAAATGCCACGAAATGCCATAAAATGCCCTGAAAGGCAAACCTAAAGCTGTCCACTTCTGTACATATAAAAATAGAGAAATAAAAGCCAAGGCTTGCTGTGGTTTTCCTCGTTTTTTAAAAAAGAAAACACCCCAAGTGTTGCCTTTGCATAGTCAAGCATTTGCATGGCAGCACTTTGCATACAGAGCAGTGGGGATGGGCTGGGCTGGGGTGTTAAGACACTTCTTCCTCTGCCCCCTCTCATCAAATTTAAAAAAAAAATATATTTATATATATATACACACAGAGAGAGGACAAGCAGGTGCATTGTTTTTCTTTAGTGAAAAAAAAAAAGAGATTATCAGGAAAATTATTTAAAATTTCAAGCTGCCTGTGGGTTGGTTTGGCTTTGGAGTGGTTTTTAGCCAACTGGTTTTGGGCCCCCCTCAGAATCACAGCGGAGCTTTCCTTCTCCAAAAAGCAGAGGGGGGCAAAGGGACCCCTCTGAGAGGGCCAGGGGTGGGGGTGACCCCCCAACGGCGGGGGGACCCCGTGCCTTGTGCTTTAGCTCAGGCCTTGAGGAGGTTCAACCACAAAAGGTGCACCAAAAAGCCGTCTTGGAGCGTGGAGGTTGGGATTGCAGCCATGGGAGCTCCCGGGGGATGTGGGGACACAGGTACCCCGTGCCAGGGACCATCCATGGAGGGGCTGAGCCGTGCCAGTGGAGGGGGTGGAGCTCAGCAGGTCCCAGCATGGCCATGTGGGGTCCCCACCAGCCCCACCGAGCCAGCCTGAGCCTCCTGGAGACACCCTGAGCCTCCTGGAGACACGGGTGGGGACTGGCCGAGGCATCTCCACACTGCGCTGAAATTCCTTTGGGATGAGCTCGTCCGGGGCCGCTCCACCACTGCTCTCCAAGGGGCTTTTCCATCATCAGAGACCTTCCCTGGGGCTCTCCAGATCCACCTCCCAGGCACAAGGCAAGAGGTAAAACTGTCCCCTGTGGTTTTACCTCAGCTGGGAGGGGTTGGCACCGCAGGTCCAACCTCCCGGGTGAGCTCAGGTCACAAGAAGGAGCCCAGGTCACGGTGGTGGCATTGACAAGGTCCTGCCCTGTGCCCTGGAGAGGAGCCAGAGCCCACAGCCAACAAGGGACGTGGCCCACGAGCCCCTTGGCCCCACAGCCAGCCAGTCCTCATGGAGCTGCCACGACAAGCAATGGAAGAGTTGGAAAAAGGATTGGAAAAAGCACTTGGAGGTCCATCCACGTGGTCAGCTGGGTGTGAGCCAGGCCCTCCAACCTTCACTTGAGCTCGGTGTCAAGAGGCTGCTGATGTCAGATCCTCCAGCCCTGGTGCTGAGAGCTGGAAAGCCCTTCCCATGCACCATTGGAAAAGCCACCTGAGCCACCTCCAGCAATTCCATGGCCTGACATTCCCACCCTGCCTGAGAGCCAAAGAGCCACCCCAAGGGCTCATGGCAGCGCTGGGCACATCACCCACCCCAAAGCCTACACCACGGACCCCCCAGATCCTCCCTGCCCTCCTCTCCTGCCACAGGTGCTGCTCAGCCTTATTTATCCAAGGAAAAGCACGAGCAGGACCCCCAAGGACAGGCTGTGGCTCCTGTGCAGTTTGACACCAGCAGAGAGGAGTGGCCTCCACATTCCCACCACTCAAAGATGCCTCAGTTCAGTGTGGCCTCTCATCCCACGCTGCAGACACACATCAGGCCACGGGGGACCGAAACTTGTTCGAGGAGAAATAAAAGAGAAGGAGGGTGTGGGGAAAATCAATATTCAGTTGGACACACCAGGCCCATTATTTGTTCTTGATTTATTTATGACCCACACAGCTGCTGTTGGAACTGGCAGGGCCTGGCTCTTGTCCTGCCCAAATTTAACCCCTGGTAGGCTTTGGAGAGCGGGTGATGCGCCCCATGTGTTGTGGCACCCCACAGCAAGGGGGGAAGGTGCTCACGGAGCCCGAGGTGGTGAACCTGTGAGGTAGGTAAATGTGATTACAATCTGAACAGGAGGATTTATTGGAATTTGTTTCAAAGATGCTTTTTTTCTATTTTTTTTTTCCCCCCATCTGAAGGTGATGAAATGGCAACAGCACAGGCCTGGTGTGATCGGCGATCACAGAGTCCTTGTGTGCTTCTTCTGGAGAAAGGCACCAGCGGTGTCTTCTGGGAAACCAGACCTTCATCAGTGGCTTTTTGAGTGGCTTCAAACCCATGCCGGTCCTCCCAGAGACACCTGAAGTCAAAATTCGTCTTGGAAGCAGAAATGCTAAGGACACAACCGAAAAACCTCGCCAAGCAGGGCAGGTATTTGCTGAGCTGAGCTGCTGCCAGGAAACCACAGCTGGGCTCAACAGGACACAGGTGGGGCTTCTGTCACCTGCTTTTGTGCTGTCCCTTGCTTGAAGGCACGTCAGGTGAGTATGTCATAGATCTTCTCCTCTTATGCCCCCACAGAGACTGGGATTGTCAACCCAAACAGCCCTGGGCACGTGCTCCTGTTCTCACAGGGCAGAGGTGCCAACTTCATGGTCACACCATGGGGCAAAGCGTCACATCCATGGCCGTGCCAAGGGGCAAGGTGTCACACCATGGTCACTTCATGGGAAAAGGTGCCACATCCATGGTCACACCATGAGACGAGGTGTCACACCATGGGATAAGGTGTCCCATCCACGGTCACTTCACGGGACAAGGTGCCACATCCATGGTCACACCACGGGGTGAGGTGTCACATCCACGGTCACACCATGGGAGAAGGTGTCACATCCATGGCCATGCCATGGGGCAGTCCAGGAGGGTCCAAGCTGCCGACCCGTCACATCCCTCCTGGGCCTCACCAAAGGCACCACCCTGGAAGGGGTACAAAACCATCCCAAAGAACTTGAGGCACAAAGGACAGTTGCTCCTGAGTGACAAATAAATAGCAGGTTTGCCGGAAGAAAGCCCTTTGGAATCCAAGGTCCGTCAGCCCAGTGGCACCGAGAGCCTCGTCAGGAGATCAGTCTGTAATTAGAACTCATTGTAAACGAGCCGGTTGGGGTTTTAATTTCTTTTAAAACCAGAAAGAGTCGGGGACGGGCCTGGCAGGGGGTTCACCCGCCACCCCTGCCCTGCCGGTTGATCACAGCGTGGGTTTGTTCCTATGTACAGCACGAGGGGAGGCCCCTCAGAGGAGGAAAGAGTTCCAGCTGCTCTTGGAGAAGTGTGGGAAGGAGGCAACTCCTAGTTCTGGTGCCTCTTCATGTGCAGGGCCAGGTGGTCGGAGCGGGAGAAGCAGCGGCCGCAGGCGAGGCACTTGAAGGGCTTGGCCCCCGTGTGCTTCCGATAGTGCCGGGTGAGCTCGTCGGAGCGGGCGAAGCGCCAGTCACAGCCCTCCCAGGTGCACTTGTAGGGCTTCTCACCTGCGGGGCACAGCCACAGGTCACGGGCACGGCCTCCCAGAAACCCACCCCGTCCCCTGGGAGACGCCCAACTTGCTCAGGAGAACCAACAAGGGCACCCTGGCACTGCCAGGGCTCGCCCGGAGCCACCGAGGGCATCGTGGACTGCTGAGCTGCAGCAGCCATGTCTTGCCCCTCTTCACCCCGCTCCCACTTTGCTTTCTAGGCTTGTTTTCTAGGGCTGCTCATTCCCACTTTGCTTTCTAGGCTTGTTTTCTAGGGCTGCTCATGTTCCTGTTGGATTTTGGAGCGTTTCTGGCTTAAAAAAAAAACTTTTGAGTTTGTTGGGTTTTTTTTTCCCCAAACGAGAAGTCAGGAAGTCCTAAGGAAGGTGTTGCTGCTCATACAGGTGGAGGAGATTTTCCTGTTGGATTTTGGAGCGTTTCTGGTTTAAAAAACCCCAAACTTTTGAGTTTGTTGGGGTTTTTTTTTCCAAATG